CCCCAAAACCCCAAAACCCCAAAACCCCAAAACCCCTTTAAAGGCAGCCATAATTGAATATTTAAGGCCTTTGATCAAGGAACTAGTCTATGTCAAGGTTCTCAATGACTCTTCTAGTCAAGTCTGCAGTACCGTGATTCCCTCCAAGATCTGGTGTTCTGACTTTTCTTTCCTCTAGTGTCTTGAAGATAGAGTTTTGGATTTGTTCAGCGAAGAATGGAAGTCCAAGGTGTCTCAACATCATTACAGCTGAGAGAATGAAAGCAGTTGGGTTTGCTTGGCCAGTTTTTGCAATATCTTTTCCAGAATGCCTGGCTCCTTGTTCGAAGATAGCGTATTTTCTACCAATATTTGCTCCTGGAGCAATACCTGCACCTCCTACTAGTCCTGCCACAATACTACCAATAATAGATCCATAGAGATTAGGAAGAAGCATAATATCAAAAGCTTGAGGATTCGTTGCGAGATTCATGCAAGTCGCATCAACTATCATTTCTTCATACAAAATTGTTGGATATCTATGTGAAACTTCCCTTGCTGCATCCAAGAATTCTCCATCGCAAAGCTTCATGATGTTAGCTTTATGCACTACGGTGATCTTCTTTCTGTTAGAGAGGAGTGCATATTCAAAAGCATATTCAGCAATTCTCTTAGAATTTTCGTGTGTAATTACTTTGATACTTTCGATAACTCCTGGAAGGAGCTCATGCTCAATGGATGCGTACTCTCCCTCACTATTCTCTCTAATCAGCACAATATCAATATCATCATGCCTTGTTTTCACTCCTGGAATAGTGAAAGCATGAACAATATAGGCATAGATCTCTAATGCCTTGGAAATTTGATGGTTATTCCACATAAGGACATCATCGTTTGAAATGGGTCCCTTCAGGATGACATCATTCTGTACGAGCTTGTCCATAGTCTGCCTCTCAATATTTACAGACATCTCTTTTGCCTCGATGATAGGGATATTCTCGAACTTGACTGGGACATGAGCTGCTTCAAAGATTTCCTGCACGGAATCTATAGTTTGAAATTTTAAATCTACTTATTTCTTACGTAGAAAAGAAGGAATTAATATCTTCAAAACGAGACTATTGGGAGGAAATCTTAGCGTAACTTACCAGTCAAATAGGGTCCAACACCTTCACCATCAATGAGAGAAACTCTTTTCATGTTGCCTTCTCCAGGTCTCTGGAGGAAGGTGGTTGACAGCTTTTTCTGTTTCGCAAATGTTCTTTTGGGAGTGACCTAAACAAAACACTATGGTTATGCACAAGAAAACACAGATTGGGCGAGCATCCATATCACCTCCGGAGCTCTAAATCCGGCTGTTTGAGCTTTCTCAGACTGTAAACTTACAAGTTTGTTATAACTCTTGATTTTTCTAACCAAGTTATTTCTCAAACTAAACATGATTATAAAGTTTTTATAAAAATTATATCAATAAAATACAATAAAATGGGGTTTTGGGGTTTTGGGGTTTTGGGGTTTTGGGGTTTTGGGGTTTTGGGGTTTTGGGGTTTTGGGG